TCTCTGGTTCCTCTGCCTTTTCTAAATCCAGCTTGAACATCTGGAAGTTCATGGTTCATGTACTTTTGAAGCCTGGCTTGGAGAATTTTGAGCATTACTTTGCTAGCATGTGAGATGAGTGCAGTTGAGCAGTAATTTGAACATTCTTTGGCATTGCCTTTCTTTGGGATTGTGATCAAAAATGACCTTTTCCAGCCCTGTGGCTGTTGCTGAGTTTTCCAAATTTGCTGGCATATTGACTGCAGCACTTTAACAGCATCATCTTGTAGAATTTATAATAGCTCAACTGGAATTGCATCACCTCCACTAGTTTTGTTCATAGTGATGCTTCCTAAGGCCCACTTGACTTCACATTCCAGGATGTCTAGCTCTAGGTCAGTGATCACACCATTGTGATTATCTGGGCCGTGAAGATATTTTTTCTACAGTTCTTTCATGTATTCTTGCCACCTCTTCTTAATATCTTCTGCTTCTGTTAGGTCCATACCATTTCTGTCCTTTATCAAACCCATCTTTGCCTGAAATGTTCCCTTGATATCTCTAATTTTCTTGAAGAGATCTCTAGTCTTTCCCATTCTGTTGTTTTCCTCTATTTATGATACAATAATTAAATCTCAATTAAATAAACAAAAATTTAAAACCATGGTATGGAAAAAAATTTGCCATCCCAAAATGTGCCTCTTAGTCATGAAAATTAAGCCAAGCTAATTGTTTTTAAGAAACAAAAACAAAACAGCTGCCTAAAGACTCTAAAGGGCCTATTCCCAGAATAGAGCTGAACCCAGAAATTTCAGCAAGAAATCTGATATAGTTGTGATGGGAGTAACTAGAAATCAGATTCTTTTCTGTATTCCACTGTCTCTGTATAACCCAGCAAATTTTTGTCTTTCCATGTAAGCTTATCTACTACCCTTTGAAATTTCAATTCACTACTTTGTCTTTTGACTTCAGCTAAATATGATATTTAAGGTGAGGGCTTCCCTGGTGGCTCAGACGGTAAAGCATCTGTCTGCAATACTGGAGACCCAGGTTGGATCCCTGGGTGGGAAGATCCCCTGGAGAAGGAAATGGCAACCCACCCCAGTACTCTTGCCTGGAAAATCCCATGGACAGAGGAGCCTGGTAGGCTACAGTCCGTGTGGTTGCAGCTGAGCGACTTTACTTTACTTTGACCATTTAGTGGGTTATTCAGTTTTTCTAGGTCTAACCCATGTACACATATTATTAAACTCGTGCTTGATTTTCTCTTGTTGATATGTCTCAAGTCAATTTAATTTTTAAACCAGCCAGAAGAACCTCAATAGGTAGAAAAAAATTTCTTTTTCCACAACATCATAAGATCAGGTTAAAACAGACCAGTTACATCGGAACATCTGGGACAGAGATTCAGGAATATAACCAAAGAAAAGAGATCTTGAGCCTCTGCTCTTGCATTGAACAATCTCACATGGGAAACCATGAAATCATTTTTAAAAAATGAGAAGTAGAAGAATTTTGTGACCCTCATATTCAAGTCTTGACAATTCCTTCTTAAAAATTTAACTGGAAAAAGTTGGGGGCTACCTTCAATAACAAAGAAAGGTTAGTTCATAGTTAAGTCAGTATTCTTTATGCGCCATTGTGATCAACACCATCAGGCCAACTGGCCTACCTTTACATCAACCAGGTAACTTCCTGCATTTGTTTTCCTATTAACCTAGCTATCTGAATCACTGAGCACTCTGCCCTCTACCTTTTTGCACGCACTTTGGGTTTCAGTAGCAGCCATTTGGGGCTGAATTAGGAATATTACTATAGAAAATATTCTGCATCTTGGATAAGAAAAAGCATTCTTCATAAGTAGGACTATGAAAAGTGAAAGGGAAAGTCACTCAGCCATGTCCAATTCTTTGCAACTCCATAGACTATACAGTTCATGGAATACTCCAGGCCACATTGAATGAGTATCCTTTCCCTTCTCCAGGGGATCTTCCCAACCCAGGGATCAAACCCAGGTCTCCCGCATTGTGGGTGGATTCCTTACCAGCTGAGCCTCAAGGAACTCCCAAGAATACTGGAGTGGGTAGCCTATCCCTTCTGTTGTGGATCTTCCAGACCCAGGAATTGAACTGCAGTCTCCTGCATTGCAGGAAGATTCTTTACCACCTGAGCTATCAGGGAAGCCCACGAAGGACCATGTACTAGACTAAATATTATTTATCAATATGGCTTCTTTTGAAAGTCAATACCCTCTGGAAATTTTTTTTCCTATAATTTTAAAATGCATACTACTGTTATTGATTTTTTTTTAGTCTTATACAAGACTTCTTTCTTGTGATTTAACAAATTTCAAGAATACAAACCATGTTTTTTTGTTTTTTGTTTTTTTGCAAGGAAATTGTGTTCAGCAAATGTGTGACCCTTTCTTTTCTATTCTGAAAGTAAAAGTGAACATCGCTCAGTCATGTCTGACTCTTTGTGACCCCCATGGACTGCACAGTCCATGGAATTCTCCAGGCCAGAATACTGGAGTGGGTGGCCTTTCCTTTCTTCAGGGGATCTTCCCCACCCAGGAATAGAACCAGGGTCTCCTGCATTGTAGGTAGATTCTTTGCCAACTGAGCTATCAGGGAAGCCCTTTTCTAGTCTAGAGAGATAGAATTCCTTTGGAAGATAAGGAAACCATGATGTCTGTGCTTAGCCTGAACAGTGTAGCTGGGGAGACTCTAGATATTATCTGGTCTGTATTGTTATTATTGCAAGTTATTTTTAAAATACCACTATTTCCTACAGTTCTTTTAAATTTTTACTTATAGAGTAAGTAAGTATTTTAATATTAAAATATTTTTATATATAGCATTGGGAATGATATAATGATAACTAAATTTGGAGTACCTGATGCTATTTAGATAGGAAGATTTTTGTGGGGAATAGCCCAAACCTTTAAAGTTATTGTTTATAAAGACTGTTATTATCATTGTTTATAAAGCCTGTCCATGGAACATGTATTGATGACGTCAAAAGAAGCAAATGTCTTAACCAAATCAGACCAAAAGTTCTTGTTAGGGGAAACACACTTACTGAAACCGCCCATCCTGGCCAGGACCCATAGTAACCATTTGCATGAGTTTTTTTTTTTTTTAATGACAGGAGGTCCTGATAAGGAACATGGAACTAAAAAGGCACCACCCACAGGGAGAATTCAGGAAAGGCCAAAAAGTGACACTGCATGTCCAAACACCTCCCAGAATCCTTCCCACTGGCATCAGTCTTGGCTGAGCGAGTCTTGCACCACCAGGAAGGACTGAGTCAGAATGACTGGCTAAAGACAACCCAGAAACAAACCCCATCACGATAAGACTGCGAGCCACATGGCAGAGCAGTTCTCCTAGGTTCCCTTACCCTACTGCTCTCTGCCTGGGCACCCCTTCACAATAAAATCTTTGCTTTGTCAGCACATGCGTCTCCTCAGACAATTCATTTTCGAGTGTTAGACAAGAGCCAACTTTTGGGCCCTGAAAAGGGTCCCCCTTCCTGTATCAATCTGATGCCCTTTTAAATATTCTTATCCCTGATAGGCCAGAATTAGAGGATTATGGGAGTCAAACTAGCTGCCTCCCATACTTTGATAATGTACTTTTATATTTCAAAACCAACCACTGTGTCTGTTTATATCACTCACTTTTAGATAACACATGACTCATCATTCCATAAAATATCTCCTTTTAATCACTGTTTCTTGGACTGTCGTGAGTCAATATCATACAAGAGAATGAAACTTTTGGTAATTATATTTAAATGATGTATCATAGCTTGGCAGTGTCCACACAAGAGACTGAGCCAGACTTGCCTGTGTGTGTCCAGGAGTCTCCAACAGTGGCGTGGGTCCACAGTGGCCTGCTGCAAGGTCAAGGGCACTGAACACAAAAGTCTTTTTGAAGGAGTTCCACATTATGCCCATTAACCCTACCCTACCCATTAACCCTAACTCCATTAACCCTCCATTAACAGGGAGGGAATGCAGCCCTGCTCATCAACAGAAAACTGGATTAAAGACTTACTGAGAATGGCTCCAGCCATCTGAACAAGTCCAAGATCCCCCCACAGTCAGTCTCTTCCATCAGGAAGCTTCCAACAGGCCTCTTATTCTTATCTATCAGAGGGCAGAGAGAATGAAAATGACAATCACAGAAAATAATCAAACTGATTACATGGACCACAGCCTTGTCTAAGTAATGAAACTACGAACCATACCCTGTAGGGCCACCCAAGAGGGACAGGTCAGGTTGGAGAGTTCTTTTTTTTTTCTTTTTCATTTATTTTTATTAGTTGGAGGCTAATTACTTTACGATATTGTAGTGGTTTTTTGCCATACATTGACATGACTCAGCCATGGATTTACATGTATTCCCCAAAACAAAACGTGATCTACAGGAGAAGGGAATGGGGAAACCACCTCAGTATTCATGCTTTGAAAACCCAAAGGACAGGAGGAAAAGTTAAAAAGATATGACAATGAAAGATGAACCCCTCCCCCCCCAGGTCGGTAGGCACCCTATATGGTACTGGAGAAGAGTGGAGAAAAACTCCAGAAAGAAGGCAGAGATGGAGCCAAAGCAGAAACAATGCCCAGTTGTGCATGTGACTGGTTACAGAAGTAAAGTTTGATGTTATAAAAGAACAACATTGCATAGAAACCTGAACTGTTAGGTACATGAATCAAGGTAAATTGGAAGTGGTCAAACAGGAGATGGCAAGAATGAACATCAATATTTTAGGAATCAGTGAACTAAAATGGACTGGAATGGGAGGATTTAATTCTGATTACCATTATATCTACTACTGTGGGCAAGAATCCATTAGAAGAAAAGGAGCACCCCTCACACTCAGCAGAAGTCTGTAATGTAGTACCCGGTATAATCTCAAAACTAACAGAATGACTTCTGTTTGTTTCCAAAGCAAACCATTCAATATGACAGTAATCTGAGTCTATGCCCCAACCACTAATGCTGAAGAAGCTGAAGCTGAATGGTTCTATAATGACCTAGAGACCTTCTAGAACTACCATCAAACAAAGATGACTTTTTCATCATAGGGGACTGGAATGCAAAAGTAGGAAGTCAAGAGATGCCTGGAGTAACAGGCAAATTTGGCCTTGGAGTACAAAATGAATCAGGGCAAAGGCTAACAGGGTTTTGCCAAGAGAATGTGCTGGTCATAGTAAACATCCGCTTCCAACAACACAAGAGACAACTCTACACATGAACATCACCAGATGGTCAACACAGAAATAAGATTGTTTATATTCCTTGCAGCCAAAGATGGAGAAGTTCTATACAGTCAGCAAAAACAAGAACAGGAACTGACTGTGATTCAGATCATGAATTCCTTATTGAAATATTAAGACTTATATTGAAGAAAGTAGGGGAAAACCACCAGACCATTCAGGTATGACCTAAATCAAATCACTTAACGATTATACAGTGGAAGTGACAAATAGATTCAAGGGATTAGATCTGATAGAGTGCCTGAATAACTATGGATGGAGGTTCGTGACTCTGTACAGGAGGTGGTGATCAAGACCATTCTGAAGAAAAATCAATGCAAAAATGCAAACTGATTGTCTGAGGAGTCCTTACAAATAGCTGAGAAAAGAAGAGACCCACAAGACCAAGGAAAAAATGGAAAAAATGTACCCATCTGAATAGAGTTTCAAAGAATAGCAAAGAGAGATAAGAAAGCCTTCCTCAGTGATCAATGCAAAGAAATATAGGAAAACAACAGAATGGGAAAGACTAGAGATCTCTTCAAGAAAATTAGAGATACCAAGGGAACATTTCATGCAAAGATGGGCTCAATAAAGGACAGAAATGGTATGGACCTAACAGAAGCAGAAGATATTAAGAAGAGGTGGCAAGAATACACAGAAGAACTGTACAAAAAAGATCTTCATGACCCAGATAATCACAATGGTGTGATCACTCACCTAGAGCCAGACATCCTGGAATGTGAAGTCAAGTGGGCCTTAGGAAGCATCACTACGAACAAAGCTAGTGGAGGTGATGGAATTCCAGTTGAGCTATTTCAAATCCTGAAAGATGATGCTGTGAAAGTGCTGCACTCAGTATGCCAGCAAATTTAGAAAACTCAGCAGTGGCCACAGGACTGGAAAAGGTCAGTTTTCAGTCCAATCCTTAAGAAAGGCAGTGCCAAAGAATGCTCAAACTACTGCACAATTGCACTCATCTCACACGCTAGCAAAATAATGTTCAAAATTCTCCAAGCCAAGCTTCAACAGTACATGAACTGTGAACTTCCAGATGTTCAAGCTCAATTTAGAATAGGCAGAGGAGCCAGAGGTCAAGTTGCCAACATCCATTGGATTATAGGAAAAAAACACGAGAATTCCAGAAAAACATCTACTTCAGCTTTATTGACTACACCAAAGCCTTTGTAGGGATCAGAACAAACTGCCTTCCCTGGTGGCTCAGTCAGTAAAGAGTCTCTCTGCTTTTTGAGAGATGTGAATTTGATCCCTGGGTCAGGGAAATCCCCTTAGAAGGAAATGGTTACCCACTCTAGTATTATTGTCTAGAGAATTCCACCGACAGAGGGTCCATGGGGTCACAAAGAGTAAGACATGACTGAATGACTAACACTTTCAACATACTGTGGAAAATTCTTCAGACCACCTTACTTGCCTCCTGAGAAATCCCTGTGCAGATCAAGAAGCAACAGTTAGAACTGGACATAGAACAATGGACTGGTTCCAAATTGTGAAAGGAGTACATCAAGGCTATATATTGTCACCTTGCTTATTTAACTTATATGCACAGTACATATGGTTAAATGTCAGGCTGGATGAAGCACAAACTGGAATCAAGATTCCTGAGAGAAATATCAATAACCTCAGATATGCAGATAACACCACCCTTATGCCAGAAAGCAAAGAGGAACTAAAGAGTCACTTGATGAAAGTTAAAAGAAGAGAGTGAAAAAGCTGGCTTAAAGCTCAGCATTCAAAAAACTAAGATCCTGACATCCAGTCCCATCACTTCATGTCAAGCAGATGAGGAAACAAAGGAAACAGGGCCAGGTTTTATTTTCTGGGCTCCAAAATCACCAGCCATGGCTGGTGACCGCAGCCATGAAATTAAAATACACTTGCTCCTTGGAAGAAAAGCTAGGAGAAATCTAGATTTCATATTAGAAATCAGAGACATTACTTTGCCAGCAAAGGCCCATCTAGTGAAAGCTAAGATTTTTCCAGTAGTCATGTACGGATGTGAAAGTTGGACCATAAAGAAATCTGAGCACCGATGAATTGGTGGTTTTGAGCTGTGGTGTTAGAGAAGACTTCTGAGAGTCCCTTTGACTGCAAGGAGATCAAACTAGTCAATCAGAAAGGAAATCAGTCCAAAATGTTCATTGGAAACACTGATACTGAATCTGAAGCTCGGATACTTTGGACACCTTATGCAAAGAACTGACTCATTGGAAAAGACCCTGATGCTGGGAAGGGTTGGAGTCAGAAGGAGAAGGAGATGGCAGAGGATGAGATGATTGGATGGCATCACGAACTCAGTGGACATGAGTTTGAGAAAGCTCCGAGAGTTGGTGATAGGGAAGCCTGGCGTGCTGCACTCCATGTGGTGGCAAAAAGTCAGATACGACTGAGTGACTGAACTGACTGACTGAATGAATGTGGAAATGAACATTGAAATACATGTTTCTTTTGCAATTGTGGTTTTCTCAGTGTACATACCTAATATTGGAATTGCTGGGTCATATGTAGGTTTTATTCCTAGATTTATGTGGAATCTCCATACTGTTCTCCATAGTGTCTTTATCAATTTACATTTCCACCAACAGTGCAAGAGGGTTCTCATTTACCACATCCTCTCTGAAATTTTTTGGTAGTAGATATTTTAAAGATGGCCATTTTGACTGGTGTGAGATGATACCTCATTGTAGTTTTAATTTGCAGTTCTCTGATAATGAACAGAAGAGACGACTTTACACATGGACATTACCAAATGGTCAATACCAAATTCAAATTGATTACGTTCTTTGTATCCAAAGATGGAGAAGCTGTATACAGCCAGCAAAAACAAGACCTGGAATTTACTGTGGCTTAGATCATCAGCTTCACATAGAAAAATTCAGACTTAGACTAAAGAAAACTGGGAAAAACACTAGGCCAGCCAGGAATGACATAAATCAAATCTCATATGAATTTGCAGTAGAGGTAATGAGTAGATTCAAGGAACTAGATCTAATTAACAGTGTTCCTGAAGAACTATGGTCAGAGGTCCATAATAATGTACAGGAGGTGGCAAACAAAACCATCTCAAAGAAAAAGAAAAGCAAAAAGGCAAAGTGTTCACTTCAAGAGGCTTTACAAATAGTGAAATAATGAAGAGAAGCAAAATCCACGGGAGAAATGGAAAGGTATATCCAATTAAATGAAGAGTTAAAAGAATAGCTAGAAGAAACAAGAGAGCCTTCTTCAATGAACAGTGTTTAATAGTAGAAGAAAACAACAAAAAGGGGAAAAAATAGAGATCCTTTCAGGAAAATTGGAAACATCAAGGGAGAATTATGCCCAAAGATGGGCACAAAAATGGATACAAATGGTAGGGACCCTGCAGAAGCTGAAGATATCAAGACGAGATGGAAAGAATACATGGAAGAACTGTATAAACTAGACCTTAGTGAACCAAATTACTACAGTGGTTTGGTTAGTCACCCAGAGCCAGACATTCTGGAGTGGAAAGGCAAGTGGGCTTAAGAAACTGCTGTTAATAATGACTTCCCCATAGCTCAAACAGTAAAGAATCTGCCTGTGATGCAGGACACCAGGGTTCAATCCCTGGGTTGGGAAGATCCTCTGAAAATGGTAATGGCAATCCACTCCATTCTCCTTTCTGGAGAATTCCATGAACAGAAAAACCTGGCAGACTACAGTTCCTGAGTCGCAAAGAGTTGGACATGACTGAGCGACTAACACACACACTGTTAATAAAGCTAGTGGATGCAATGAAATGTCAGTAGAACTATTCAAATTCTTAAAAGATGATGCCATCAAGGTTTTGCATTCATTATGTTAGCAAATCTGGAAGACCCAGCAGTGGCTACAGGACTGGAACTGTTTAGTTCAGATTTGATTTAGATCATACCTTAATGGTCTAGTGGTTTTCTCTACTTTCTTCAATTTAAGTCTGAATTTGGCAATAAAGAGTTCATGATCTGAGCCACAGTCAGCTCCTGGTCTTATTTTTGCTGACTGTATAGAGCTTTCCCACCTTTGGCTGCAAAAAATATAATCAGTCTGATTTCGGTCTTGGCCATCTAATGAAGTGTAGTGCCTTCTCTTGTCTTGTTGGAAGAGGGTGTTTGCTATGACCAGTGTGTTCTCTTGGCAAAACTCTGTTAGCCTTTGCCCTGCCTCATTCTTTACTCCAAGGCCAAATTTGCTTGTTACTCCAGGTGTTTCTTGACTTCCTACTTTTGCATTCCAGTCCCCATCCTCATCCTAATCCCCAAGAAGGGTACTACCAAAGCATGTGCTAAACATCAGTCAATTGCACTCATCTCCAATGCTAGTAATGTCATACTAAAAATTTTTCATGCTAGGCTTCAGAATTGTGCAAACCAGGAACTTCCAGATGCCCAAGCTGGGTTTAGAAAAAGAAGAGGATCAAAAGATCAAGTTGCCAACATTCACTGGGTCACAGATAAAGCAAGGGAATTCCAGAAGAAGTATCTATCTCTGTTTCTTCAAATATTCTAAAGCCTTTGACCATGTGGATCATGACAAACTGTGGAGAGTTCTTAGACAGATGGGAATACCAGACACTCTTACCAGTCTCCTGAAAAACCTGTTATGTGAGTCAAGAAGCAACAGTTAGAACCAGTGGTATGGGACAACTGACTGGCTCAAGATGAAGAAAGGAGTATAACAGGGTTGTCTTCTATCACCCTGTTTGTTTAACCTATATGCTGAA